TTTATGTGTACACACATTTTAAAGATCCATCTCATTTCTTACATATATGTGTTTGACCTGCATTATGTATGTGCAGTACATGAGTGCCGGGTGCCTGCCAAGGTCTCACCACCATTACTTGCTGTCTCTGTGTTGTGAGAAAAGCTGGGTCATGTGGCTGTATGGTGAAGGTTGTCATGTCCCTCATTGACTTTGGGGGACAACTACCTGGCTGCTCTTGACTTAACCACGTGCTTCAGTTTCCCCATCTGCAAAGCAGGGATGACTGAGACAGTGGTACCTGCCTCCCAGTTTGCTGAGTGGAAACTTGAGCAGTTCCTGTCCCTGGGGTAGTGTCCTGTGGCTACAGAAAGCAGAAGGGACCATTATAGCCAATGTTCCCTCTCTGCTCTGACTGCCGGGATCCTGTTCTAGATGCAGGATACTCTGTGTTCAGCTTGGGGTTTCTATACCACACCTTTGATCTTTTAGTTCCCCTGTTTGAGAGAGGCATGTGTTCCTGCTCACAGGACGTCTTGTACGGTACCTTTCCCTGCTCTTTGATAAGGTGCACTGGAGGCTGGAACGTTTGCTTTGGGCATGACAGCTTAATGACTTTGCCCAGTAACTTCTTACAGCAAAGATTATTTCCCCTAAGCCCGAGAGAGTTGAAACAATATATTTTGTTAGGAAATAAACAAGCTTGGAAGGAGGAAATGAGAATTTTTCTTTACGCCGCCCTCAGTGCTTTTTTTTCCTTTAAAAATTTCATTAAGTAACAACATCCACTCTTCCTTTGCTCTTTATCTTGTGTTTTGTTCCACTCGGCTTCACTAAGAGATTTGAAAATGAACTGACGTGGAAAGTAAACCCAGAGAAAGCCCGTGCCAATTGTGGTTTCATCGTAAGACTCGCTCTTCGCTCCTTAGCTACGCTCCAGCTTTGCATTTCAGCCATCTCAGAACACGAACTTGTTTCCTTGACAAATTATCTTTCCCCGAATAGTTCATCATGAGAGCCAAAGCATGCTAATAAAGACAGAAAGACGAGGGCCTGGCTGAAGTAACTAACCCCACATAAGATGCTAACATGAAAACTAACATATAGAACAAAAGGCTTTTGTTTTTTTGTTATTTTTATATGTGTGTGTATGTGATATGATTCACGTGTCTAGAGGTCAAAGGACAACTTTCTGGGGTAGAGGTGGGGTGGGGTGTCCCAAGGATCAAGCTGAAGTCACTGTGGCTTGGTGGCAAGCGCATTTGCCCATTGAGCCATCTGGCCAGCCCAGAGGAGGGTTTCATTGGAGGGTTTCTTTTTTTACATGGGAATATGCTGGTGTTGTAATAGGATCTAGTTGCTTAGGATAATTGGAGCATGCTGCCCGGGAATGGGAAGTGGGAAGGGAGTTCTCTCATGCACAGGACTATGTTCTAGTCACTGCATGGGGTCCAGGGAAGGAGACAGAGGTGCAGAGGAAAGAGAGGCAGCACTATGAGAGATGGTGACCCTCAGTGGCAGGGAGCGGGACAGTTGGGGAGGAGGTGGTGTTTCTAGCCAGGGCAGTCCCGGGGATTAAAAGCATTTCAGAGGGGGCTGGAGAGATGGCTCAGCAGTTAAGAGCACCGACTGCTCTTCCAGAGGTCCTGAGTTCAATTCCAGCAACCACATGGTGGCTCACAACCATCTGTTATGAGATCTGGTGCCCTCTTCTGGTGTGCAGATATACATGGAAGCAGAATGTTTTATACATAATAAAATAAATAAATCTTAAAAGAAAAAAAGCATTTCAGAGATATGGCACCAGCTGCATCCTGGAGGATGACTCCTGGAGACTGGGACAGAGGGGGCATAGTGAGGAAGGTGGCAGGTATTTCATGGACCTTTGCAATGTGTGTGTGTGCATGTGTGTGGTGGGTGCATGTGTGTGTGTGTGCATGCACGAATTAGTGCACATTCCTGTGAAGAACCATCCACCTTTTCATTATTTTAAGACAGACTCTTTCAGCCAGGCAGTGGTGGGGCACACCAGCACTCAGGAGGCAGACGCAAGCAGATCTCTGTGAGTTGGAGGCCAGTTTGGTCTATAGACTGAGTTCCAGGACAGCCTGCAAAGGCACAGAGAAACGCTGCCTTGAAACACCCCCCCCCCAAAAAAAATGACAGAATCTTTCATTGTTCTAGGGCTCTCCACTTCCCTACCCCCAAACTAGAATTATGAGCATGCACTATATATAACACCATCTCTCCAGCTCTGGCACCTGGCTTTTTTAAATATTTTTTAAAAAATGACTACTTATTTTTTTATTTTATATGCATTAGTGTTTTGCCTGCCTACATATATGTGTGAAGTTGTGGGATCCCCTGGAACTGGAACAGTTGTGACCTGCCATGTGGGTGCTGGGAATTGAACCCAGGTCCTCTGAGAGAGCAGCCAGTGCTCTTAACCACTGACCCATCTCTCTAGGCCTGAGATCTGGCTTTTTAAAATGTGGGTTCTGGGGATTGAACTGAGGTCTTTATGGTTGTTAAGGAGAACCCTTTACCAACTGAGCCATCTCTCCAGCTGCTTTCCCTCAAACTTTCTAGGGGTCATCTAATGAAATCAAGCAGAACCAAGAGAGAGCTTGGCTTGCAGTCTGCCCAGATTGGAACACTGGCCCAATAGCTCTCCTGCTCTGGGGCTCTGATGAAGTTACTCAACCCTTCTCAGTCCTCCTGTATCGAAGTGTTGGGTAATAGCATTGTTCAAGAACTAAGCTAATGACTGTAAAAGGCTTAGCACATGTTCTTCTGGCTTAAGTGGCCACGGAGTAGTAATTATTAAGAGCTGAAACAGCAGCAATTTGTCGTTCATAACTGTGAGCCTCTCTCTGCACAGATCTTCCTAGGAATTATTACAAATTCATATGCATTCATGTGTGATATAATGTTGCCCTTCAGATTCCCAGCCATGTAGCTGCCCCAGGGATGTCAGTAAGCCTACCACCTCCAGGCCTTTGGGATCTTGGGCAGGTATCTGAGCTGTCAAGGTGCACCTCTCAGCACTTACTCTCAGGACAAAGTGAAACTGAGTTTCTACAAGACGGCATTATATCACCTGCCATTATAAGCTAGCTGTTCCGGCATTTGCTTTCAGCTAGCCAGCATGCTTGTAATTCATGATGGCTATTGGCAACGTGTAAATGAGAACAGGAATTGGATCCGCTTTCCTCGAAGCGCGGCTGGAGCCAGTGTCAGGAGGGGCTGTTGGTACCCTGCATTCATGAGCTGGTTCACACTCTTGCTGTGTCTTTGAGGCAATGTCTAGGGTTTTTTTTAAAGAAAAAGTTTTAAAAATGCATTTTTTATGTATGTGTTGCACGCAGATGCCATTGAGCCATCTCTCTACCTAAAATAAACCTTCTTCTTTTTTTTTTTTTTCCTTTTTTTTTTTTTTTTTTTTTTTTGAGACTGGATCTCATTACTTAGCTTCAGATGACTCACCATGTAGACCAGGCTTGCCTCTATCACAGCAGAGATCCACATGCCTTTGCCTCCCAAGTATTGGAATTAAAGAGGAGTGTCGCCATTCCAGTCCCTAATTTTTTCAAAATTACATTTATTTGCATATTTATTTTAGAGGAGGCACAAGCGCCATAGTGCGTGTGGGTCGTGGAGGTCCAATTCAGGTCAGCATCTTGACTTACTGAGCCATCTTCATCTTGCTGAGTGTAGAATTCCGTGTTGAAGAAAGCTTTGTTTTAAAATTGTATTCACTGTTGGTAATAGCAGTCAGGCGGGAGACACTGAGGGACCAGTCTGTCTGATGTAGTTTGTCAGCTGTCTCAGTGAGGAGTTTGTGGCCAATTTAAACAAGCATGTTGAGTGACTCTGCAGCTTTGGGGAAGCAAACTGACCTTGAACTCAGTATGTAGCCAAGCACGACCTTGAACTTCTGATCCTCCTGCCTCCAGCCCTGAGGGCTGTATCACAGGTGTGCACCATCTTGTCTGCCCTAACACATTGTTTTCTGGATTCGTTTATGTTACTAACATAATTTAGGCCTTTCTCTTTGTGTCTGAATAATACTCATGTGGATAAACACATTAACACATTTTTGTTATTCATCAGCTGAGGGGGCGCGCCCTTGATTTGAAAGCCATATTTCTGAGAAGGCTCCCCATTAAAAACAAACGTAATTCCATGAACTAGGCTTACTAAGGCTTCCTGAGCATCCTCTTGATTGTTTTTATTACAGATTCAATCTGCATCACTTAAGAAAGCAAGCCTTCCCCTGCAGGATTGGGCAGTTAAATTGTCCTGTCTGTAGGCACACGCCACTGTCCTTTGAAGCTGGGAGGTTTCCCTGGACTCAACTCTCATAGAAGGTGGCACACACAGTCCATGTGTCCCCTGATCTTTCCTCTTCTTGTCTTTGTTGTGTGACTGCTATACTTGGACTGTTCCTCTGCTTTTTTCCTATCTTCTTGCTTTCTGAACTGCTGGGTGGACTTTGAGCCTGTTACAATTCATGCTCTGGAGACTTAGATTTAGTCAGGCTCACCCCAGCCCCAGGCAGGGTCTTTCAAATTTCCCAGGCTGGCCTGGAATTTGCCACTCAGCAGAAGATGAACTCCTGATCCTTTTGCCTCCTTCCAAGTGTTAAGATTACAGGCTTTCATTATCACACATGGTTTATGCAAGGCTAGGGATTGAACCCAGGGCTTTTTGCATATGAGTTAGTGGCTCCACCAGCTGGCCCCCACTTACAGGGTTAGGATTAAAAAAATTACTCTGTGTGTGTGTGTGTGTGTGTGTGTGTGTGTGTGTGTGTGTGTGTGTGTGTGTGTGTACATGCCATGGTGCATGTGTGGAAGTGAGAGGAGAACTTTGGAGAGTCAGTTATCTTCTCCAACCATATGAGTTTCTGGATCAAATCCAGATCCTCAGGCTTTTACAGTAAGGGCCTCCACCTGCTGGGCCATGTGCCAGCCCCAGGGTCAGAGTTTTTAAGTGTTTCTTGTCCTTCTTTTTTCCAGGTAGATCCAGTGTTTACAAGGGAAGTGAAAGATCGGGTGAGGAGGTAGGTGGCATCCACAGGCAGGGGGCATCTTGCATACAAGGAATCCTCAGTGGCAGAGTGGTTTCTGAGTTCCACCTTGCCCATCACAGATTCTGCTCTAAGCGGGTTGCAAGTACCACAACCTTCAATGTTCCCTATGATCCCTCAAGGTCATGCTTTGGACTCCAAGGTACAGGCAAATGAACGGATGCCCTCAAAGTGTAAGATGCCCAACCTCCTTAGTCACCTGTGGAAAGGTCAGAGCAAACAACTTTGTCTCACTGCATATCCCAGGCTGGACTGGAATCAGAAGCCTTCTGTATGGTGGGATTCTAGGTATAAAGGCCACTTGAAGATGATAATTTTTACTGACCACACCAGCTAAAAATAAAAAAGAGAGAGATGATTTTAAAATAACAGAAGTTTTGAGGACTGGAGAGATAATGGCTCATTTGGTGAAGAACACTAGTTGCTCTTGTAGCAGACCCAGGTTCAGTTCCCAACAGCCACGTGGTGGCTCACAATCACCTGTAATTCCAGTTCCAGAGGATCTCAATGCCCTCTTCTGGCCTCTGTGTGTACTGCAGCCACATGGTGCACATGCATACATGCAGCAAACACAAATACACATAAAAAAATAAATCTTAACAAAGATTTGGAAGACATGTTGAGCTGACATCGATAGTCTCTTTGGAGATAACTGATCAGTGTTGTTGACAGAAGTTTCTGTCCTGCCTTGCCCTGCAGCCATTCAGTTCAAAATAAACACACAGAGTCTTGTATTAATTATAAACTGGCTGATGGCTCAGGCTTCTTATTGGCTAGATATTTCTTAATTATTAATCCATTTCTATTATTCTGTGTTTCTCCATGTGGTCTTGGCTTACTGGTGATGCCCGGGTCTCTTGCTTCCTTGGCAGCTACATAGGGTCTCACTCTTGACTCATTCTCTGAGTTCCTCTTACCCGAATTCTTCTAGTCTGGTAGCCCCACCTATACTTCTTACCTGGCTACATCATGCTTGTCCATTGGCCAAAACAGCTTTATTCAGCAACCAATAAGAGAAACATACATTCATAGCATACAGAAGGGCATCCCCCATCACAGTGTATCTGTTTAAATTGCATTTTTTTTTTTTCCTGCCAGGAACAAGGGACCCAGCTTTGTTGGCTATACAAGTTGGGTCTCAATTGTTCACATAAAATTTGAGTGGGACTATGAGATGGGCAGAAACAAGCATGCTGTCTCTGCTGTGTTATTTCAGGGCTGCAGGGGTGCGGCTGATCCGGGAGATGTGCCAGGAAGACCTGCATGCAGTGGTGAAGAGCTGCTTCGCTCTGGTCAACAGCTCAGTCTCTGAGGGCATGTCAGCCGCCATCTTGGAGGTTAGTGCAGCTCGAATGTTGAGGATGGGGTACTGGATTGTTCTTCTTTCCCTCTGTTTTTTTTTTTTCCTCCAAAGATTTGTTTAAGAATTTTTAAGTTATGGTATGCACATGTGTCTGGGAATGTGTACAAGTGAGTGCAGTTGCTGGTGAAGACCAGAAGATGGCATCCAGTTACCCTGGAGCTGGAGCTGCAGGTGGGTGTAAGCCACCCCACGTGGGTGTGAATTTGCATTCACTGCTCTGAAAATAAGTGACATGGCTTTATGTCATCTCTCTGTTTGGCCAAGAAGCCAGCTCTCCCTGTGCTCTGTGGTAAGTGGTCAACTTCGGTTGTGTACTCAGCCCCAGCCACTTGGGGGCAGTCTGTCCCTTCAGCAACTAACTTTGAAACTAGTGTAGAACAGGCACCCAAATTGTTCTTCTGTATGTAAATACAATTTTTTTTTTTTTGCTTCCTATTTCTTAAGAAGAGGTCATGAGTCTGGCCTTTGCTGAGTGGTTCTCTAAGCAGCACACCCAGCTTTCTCTGTGGAGGAATTGCTGTCGGTTTTGGCTTGCCTCACAGAAAAGGCAGCTGTTAGCAATCTGGATGCCCTCAAAATGTTGATGTGGTGTTCCTTTGAGAAGTCAAAGTAACCTTTGGGCGAAGGGCTCTTAATGAAGTTGATTTTAGGGGGAGGGATAAGTGCGTCTTTCTCATCAGAATCACTTCAGATGGCCAGGGTAGTTAATCACAGAGTGCATGCCCATCACTGGTCTGCAGGGTGACCCTTTGACCTTTCTGGATCTGCTTTCCTATTGCAGGCAAGTACAAATGCCCATTGGCTAAAAACACACTTCTCCCTGAAAGCTCCTCAAAGGCAAATCTCGGCTGGATGCACAGCAACTGGATGTTAATTGCTAAAAGCCTGCTAGGCATTTCCCATTCAAGCTTATTGTGCAAGCATATTCTGGATTTGAGACCTACATAGAACTACCTTAAAGGAAGGGGATGGGGAGATGACTCAGTTTGTAAATTGTTTGCTTCCCCCCCACTTCTCTCTCTCCTCCCTCCTCCCTACCTCCCCCCCCCCCCAAACCACACACACTGATAACAAAATGGCACAAGTATTTTGAAACACTCTTACAGGGTCCTTCAAGGTTCTCCAATCACTAGAGCTGGAGCTACTCTCTAAGGAAAAGCTGGGCATGGTTGCTTGTGAGCATTATCCCAGGGCTGGGGATAGTGGAGAGGGGAGACAGGCAGATCCCTAGGGCTCCCTGGACAGTCAGCCCAATAGAATCTGTGAGCTGCAGGCCAGGGAAAGAGCCTGTTTCAAAAAGATAAGATAGACAGTTTCTGAGGAAGGCCACTTTAAGTCTTCCTCTTGTCTTCTATACATCCACATGTACCCCTCCACACACAAGGATGCCTTCATATTCCCAGTGTTCCTGTCTGGAGCACCAACATAGGTGCAATCACACTCAGACATACACAGTACCCCCCCCCCTCCACCCCATGGAAGGAAGGCTATGCTCTAAAGCTAAGAGCAAGAAGAGAATGCTGGACCTTAATGAGTAGTGCCAGAGCTACTGATTGGAGAACCTTGAACAACCCTGTAAGAGCGTTTCAAAACACTTGGGCATTTTAGTGTCAGGGTGTGTGTGTGAGGAGGAAGGGAGGAGGGAGAGAGGGGGAGGGAGGGAGAGAGAGAGAGAGAGAGAGAGAGAGAATTTTAAGTGGGTGCATGGGACAGGACCATCACTTATTCTTTTGAAAAGCTATTTTTCAAATGTCAGAACTAGAAAGATGTGCTAAGGGCATTTATTTGGGATGTGGATGCTGCAGGAGATGAGGAAATTTGCAAGGGGCTGTGCAGTCTTCGGCATAGAAGAACCATACCACCATCCACTGGCCAACACCCACCAGAACACACCCTCTGCTCAATTCTATGCATCAGTATGAACATCCTCAGATCAAGTCGTTTTCCCACACTAGCAATGGTCACTCAGAATGCAATCATGCCACCAAAATCTAAGCAAAGCAAATCCCTCTTTGAGAACATATAGATAGGGCAGTGTTTAGCTTCAGGTGTGACCCAGGACTGACTGGAAGCTTCATAAGCCACACATGCAGGAGAGCTGTGCATCCTCAAAGCCTGAGCGTTCTTTGTTTGGGGGTGCAGTTCGATCAGCTGAGTTCCTCGTGACTTCTCAGCCATGAAAAATAAAGACTTTCTATAAACTGTAGGTAGCTCTGAAAAAAGTGTGTGTGGGGGCAAGTTCTTAGAGAGCTATACAGGGAGGTTCTTTCTACCCTGCAAGAGGAGGGTGAGCTGGTCTAGGGAGGCCAAGTGGGCCTGTTTATGGAAGGGGGCTGTGTGTCTTATGTTCTGACATTTTGTGTGTCTATCCCTTGAGCCAAGCTCACCCCCTCCTTCATCTTTCCCTGTTCACTCCGTGGATTTGCCCTGAATACGAGCATGCCTATTTCCAAACACTGTCTAGCGCATGGCTTTGCCAGCTGTAGTGCTACCAGGACCAGCTTCTCTGTGTGTTCATGTTCTCGGATCTCGTCTGTGCTTAGGATTTGCCATTTTTTAAAAAAGATTTATTTTTATTTTTAATTATGTACATTCATGTGTGTTTGTGTGGGATATGTGCACATGTGTGGGAGTGGCCATGGTGGTCTGAAGAGGGTGTTGGATCCCCTTGATTTTGAGTCACTGGTGACTGTGAGCTGTTCAGCTTGGGTTCTGGAAGCTGAACTTTCATTTGCATGAGCAGTAAGCACACTTAACCCCTGAGCCATCTCTTCAGTCCCATCCACCTTAGTTTTTTGAGATAGAGTCTGACGATTAGGTTAGACTGGCTGGCCAGTAAGCTCTAGGAATCCCTGTCTTGCCAGAACTCAGCCCCATACTCAGTATTAAGATTACAGATATGCACCACCATGCCTGGTTATGGTTTTGTTTTTTAACACGAATCCTAAGGGATTGAATTCGGGCCCTCATGCTTGCAGGGCAAACACTTTACTGCCTTAGCCATCTTCCAGCCCCCTTGTCTGATTCCTAAATGACAGCCCACACCTTCTGTCCTCCTACCTTCACAGGCAATGGATTTGGAAGTTCCCGTGCTGGCTAGGAACATCCCTGGGAACTCAGCTGTGGTGGAGCACGGAGTCACAGGACTGCTGTTTTCAAACCCTCAGGTAAAGAGAGTCCTTTCCCCATGTTTGCTTCATTGGTGTGATTTCTGTCTGTCTGTATGAAGAAGGGTTGTAAACTTAGGTTCCTTGTAAGCCTCCCAGCAAGTTTCATGGTTTCTGTGCTCATCCTGGAGGGACGTGCACCCTTAAGAAATCCAGGGTACTTCAGACCTGAGGATTTTAGATCAGTTGATTAAGTGACTTGATTGGCATGCATAAACCAGGCCTGGTAGTGCATACCTGTCACAGAGCATTGAGGAGGTAGAAGTAGGAGGATCAGAAGTTCAAGGTCAACCTCTGCTATATAGCTAGTTTGACAAGACCAGCCTGAGCTATGTGACACCTTATCTAACAAAACATAAGTAACCTCATGTAAAAACAAACAAACAAACAAAAAACAAATGCATAGGTGTTTTCTTAAGTGGTTGTCTGGGGCAGGGTGGAGCATAAGAAAGGGATCTCTAGCCCCCTGGTGCCTTGTGACACTGGGGATTCTGGGACCTGGGAGTACAGTTCTCTGCCTCTTATGTTCAGGTC